ACCCCTTCCGCCCCACCCTCGTTTAAAGGGGCTGGTCCCCCGGGCTGGAGTTAATCGCTTGCACCTCGGCTTTATTGTCTCCCCGCCTCCTGCCTGGCACCTCCCTTCCTTGTTTTCAGGGAACCTAGTGTGCAGCTCACCCAGCCCAACTCCCCCCAATCTCCGCCGGCTCCGGGTGCCCCAAATCTCAGGGAAGGAGGGTCTTAGTGGACCACGGTGTGCCGGAGAGCTGCGACCCCCAAGCTCATTGCACGTGCCAGCTCGGCCACCACGCTGGGGCACTCGGTCCAGCCCCGAAAGGAAGAGCCTGAAAAGCAGGGGGGAGAGGGGTGAGGAAACGCCACTGCGCCCCGGGTACAAACAGCCTTGACCCCAAGGTGCTTTAGAGCTCTAGTCAGGGCCGACCGCGTCCCCAAAGCCCTGGCTGGCGAGCGAAGCGCGAGCTGGGCGATGTTGGCGTGGAAGAGGGGTGCAGGACCGAGGGGACTCTGGGGAAAGGAAGGGGTGGCATTGTTTGACAGGGGGGGGAGCCAAACCTAAACCCTCCCTCTCCCCCTCCCCGGCCCCTCCCGAGCCATTTCCTAGAAAGCTGTATCAGTGTGGCCACGCTCAGAGCTGACACCTCGGGCGGCTTTTCAGCAGATGCCGGGGCGCGGAAGCGGGTTCTTCCTGAGGGGCCGCGGATGAACCGCTGCCGGCCCTGCCCCTGGCCTGCAGAACCTCGCCTCACCGCCGCTCGGCGCCCCCGAGAACAAGAGGATTTCTGGTCAAGGGTCACGTTCTACCAGACCTTAGAAGTGGCCCCCTCCTCCCCAACACCCACCCTTGTCTCGCTCCCTCTCCTTCCACTGCTGCAGGCGGCCAGAGGAGATGTGATTGTGATTCCATTAACTAGGCTGTGAAAAAGCCTAGGAATTATCTAGAGCATAAACTTCAGAGACATAACCTTTTCCCCTGGATGTGTGAGGTTGCGATTTTCGCAAATCAGTTTAGGATCTATTTCTAAATTGCCTGAGCTCACCCTCCGTGACAATCCATATCATCTAAGGCTAGATCTTGAATACTAGTATATTCAGGTGTCGCATATGGGCGGGGGACATGATACAAAAGACAGGGAATAAATAGGAATCGGCGGGTTTTGTGGGTTCCCCTATTCCGGGCCCCTGGCGGGGCTGGATTGTGGGAGAGGGCCCGAAGAACTAGGGAGGGGGTTGGGGGGGCGGGGGACTGCGTTTGAAGTTTGGTCGGGCCAGCTGCTGTTCTCCTTAATAACGGCAGGGGAAAGGAGGGAGGGAGAGATTGAAAGAAGGGGAGGGACGCCAGGGGAGGGGAGGGGAGGGGAGGAGGAACCGGAGAGGGGAAGGAGGCTGAGGGAGGAGATCTAACTGCCCTGCCAGCTTGCGTCACAGCCTCTGAGAGAGAAGAGCGAGCTGGGGAGAGCGGGGCAGTTCGGAGGGGAGGACTGGTGCGAGTCAGGCGGCCCTTGTGGCTCTGCTCGCCCACCTTCCACCCGGCCCCTCTTCTTCAGTTTCTCTCCCTCTCTCTCCCTCTCTCCCTCTCTCTTTTCTCTGCCTTTTCTTTTTTTCTTTCTTTCTTTTCCCAAACCCTTGATATAGCCAAAGGAAGGAGGTAAGGGAAGCCCTCCCCCCCCAAAAAAAAAACCAATAAAATTTTTCCAGTCCCGAACGAGTGGTCGCCGGCTGCCATGGAGCTGCTGTGCTGCGAGGTGGACCCGGTCCGCAGGGCCGTGCCCGACCGCAACCTGCTGGACGACCGAGTCCTGCAGAACTTGCTAACTATCGAGGAGCGCTATCTCCCCCAGTGCTCCTACTTCAAGTGCGTGCAGAAGGACATCCAGCCGTACATGCGCAGGATGGTGGCCACCTGGATGCTAGAGGTAAGTGTGTGCGCTACGCTTTCCGGGAGCCGCAGCCGCCTCCTGCAGGGACCCCAAAAGTGAGAGGGGGCGCGATCTCTGAGCCGACCTCCCCTGCGCCCGGTGGCCCCTATCCCTTAGGCGAGACGCGTTTCTGTCCCTTGCTAGACTAATTGTGGGGGGTGGCGGAGGAAAATGTGGGAGAGGCGAAGCTGGGCTGGGGCTGAATGCGGGGGGGGGGGTGACATCCCGCGCGCGCGCCTGGCTGCGAGTGGCTTCCTTGCCTTCCCACCCCCATCCTGACCTGTCTTGCTGCTTTGGGTGCGGCGAAGGAGGTGATAGAAGCATGAAAATCCAAACTCACTGTGAAAGACAGCCACCCCCCTCCAAAAAAAAATGGCTAAGGCAAACTCTGTTCTAGCCTCAGGTCTCCCGCACGTGGTAGGGACTCCGCGTTGGCACATCAGGGAGGGGGAGGAAGAGGCAACAGGGAGGGGAAAGGAGATAAGGGGAATTCAGGAGAGCCCCGAATTGAAAAATGCTCATTGAAAAAACGTGCATTTTAGGGGAACTCAAACCTCTTTACCCTTGCTTGCAATCTTTGCGGAGAGAGCCGGTTGCCCACGTATGCACAGCTCTGGACCTGCGGTGGTTTCGCCATGTTGCTTTGCAAACTCCAGTTGGAAAAACTGGGAAACGTCTCCGCTCCCCCCCAGCACCCCATTATTCCGGCCACCCTCTTTCTCAGCGTGCTCTCTCCCAGCCCCCCAGCTCACCAAGGTTACTTACAGTTTGGTTTCCAAGCTTCCGCGCGGAGATTTGGGTGGGGTAGGAAGGGAGGGAGTAGGTGTGTGTGGAGGTGGGAGTATGGGGTACCCCCAAATGAGAGGGCAGAGTCCCTCATTGCGGGGATTCTCAGATCTATCTCCCTCCCCTAAGTCCTGCACTGTGTTCCTAGTTTCTGCCCTTGTGGGCCGCAGTAGGACACTCCGCAAGTTTCCCCCCAGGATCCAGAACCCCTGGGGTGGAAATACAGACCTTTTTGATACCCGAAACCTCTGTTTCAGGAAGCCTGGAACCTCTTCGGGGTTTTCAGGCTCAAAGGACTTTCCTAGGCTTTTTCCTCGATTTTTAATAATTTTTTGAAGCGGTCCCCCCTCCCCGCCCCGCTCCGGCTCCAGCTGCGGCGGCTGCTGAGCGCTTCCTCCTCCCTCCCCCTCCTTCCCTACCGCTCCCCACCCAGTCCCCCAACAGAGGCCCCTGGGCCGCCGGGGGACCCCCGGACATTTTTTTCAATTGTCGGGAATGATAGAGCAGGGTCTGGGGATCCGAAAGAGACCAAGAAGTAGATCCCCGGAGCCTCCAGAATATTTTTATTGATTTTTTGAAAAGATGACGAAATCCGAAAAAGAGTGAGTTGAGTGCGCAGAGAAGCGAGGAGCCAGAGGGAGCTGAGGGCGACTGCTGTGCTGGGTTTTGCCTCGGGGTTTGGGGGGAACTTTAGTTCACCCCCTTTTTTCAGCTCAGAAGGAATACCCTAGTCCCGAAGGCTTTTCGGTTTTACCGCAGTTTTTCTCACCTTTAATCTTATTACACTTTCTATTCCCCCCTCCCCTCCCCCTCCCCACAAAAAATTAAATTTTCCCTTTTTTGGTCACGGGTTATGCCTTTTCATTCTTCTTCTCCGTTTCTGATACTATTCTTGCCCCCTACTCTGTCCCACTCCCATTATAGGTCTGTGAGGAACAGAAGTGTGAAGAGGAAGTCTTCCCTCTGGCCATGAATTACCTGGACCGTTTCTTGGCGGGGGTTCCCACTCCTAAGACCCATCTTCAGCTCCTGGGTGCAGTCTGCATGTTCCTGGCCTCCAAGCTCAAAGAGACCATCCCACTGACCGCTGAGAAGCTGTGCATCTATACCGACAACTCCGTCAAGCCCCAGGAGCTGCTGGTAATGCTGCCCCTCTCTGTTCCTGCCTGCCCTCTACTAACAATAACTCCTCAACCCACCAGCCACAGATAATCTTAGGATCCGGAATTACCCAGCTACTGACCTTCAGACCTATGAGAAACGTCTCTTTTAGTAAGATATAACTATTCTTTGAGCCCCTACTATGTGCCAGGCCGTGAGCCAAACTTTGAAGCTAGCTGCTTACATAAATAAGATCTATGAAAACCGTGAGGATGAAATTAATTTGAAATCTATGTGGAGGTGTGGAATATTTAACTACCAACCATGTTCACTGAACGCCAAGGAGAACACAGCCTGATCACTCAGGTGATATGAATGTATTTCACATGTTGGACTCTTGTTGTGATATGTCTCCTAAGAGCCTGGAGCTGTTGAAGGTAACATCTTGGAGATCAATAAAGTCTCAAGATACCAACACATACATGGTACCTGAACACTAAATATCAGCACATTGGCTTTTAAGCCAAGTCAGCATTTGGCTTTGTATTGGTGGGTTTTTAGCTCCTAGAGACCATGACCTCTTTACAAATCCCAGAGGGTCCTGTCTTAGCCGAGGTTTTTCTGCCAGAAACCTTTTGCCCACTTTTTTTTTTTTTTCTCCTGCAATTTCCCGCCTAGGACCGCGACCCCACAGTAGTAGAACCCTCTCTTTTCGCTGCTCCTGAGCTCACTCTCAGTGCCTTGCACACCTTTCTCTTGCACTCCCCGTTGCTGGCTGGCAGGGCCTGGGCCTGCAGTCCACAAGGATCAGACTGGCTGCTTGAACAGAACTCTTTGTGAAACGAGCCCTCCTTTCTAGGGGTCTGCTGCCACCTAGTGGTAGACATGTGTAAGGCTGGGGGAGGAATCGCCTAGACTGCAGAGGGGCGTGAAATGACTTCACCTTTGAACTTCTGCCAGATTTCAGCTGCTTCTGGTTTGGTCAGTGAGGCCCCTAAAGGTGCTTTCGACTGGAAGATCTGCTTCCTTTAATAATGGCGCCAGAAGAAGGCTTGTGTTTGCATCCCCCACCACCACCGGAGAAAGAAGGCTGGGAGTCAAGCCATCTCTGTTTTTTGCACAATCTCATTTTATCCCAATTTTCTGCGGAAAGCCAGGGCAGACTCTGAAAGCTGGAAAAAAAAATGATTAGAATTGGAGACCAGCTTGTTTTTCTCGCCAAATACATGAAAAAGAACCTTCCATGTGGCCCCTTTCATTTGACACACTGGTGGATTGGAGATATTTTTTAAGACATCCTAATTTTTCCAGGACCAGCAAATCTACCTTAACTCTCCAAATGAGTCTGCCAGTTCTCCATCTCCCATCTCTTTATCCCAGAGCTGTAGATTCTGGAAGAGCCCTCCTGTTTTACAAAGAAGAAAGCTGAGGCAAGGAGAAGGAAAGTTAACTCACAGGCCACACAGCTAGTTAGTGCTGTGGTCCACCATCTATCCCTGAGCTTAACAAAGCGAAGAGCTATGGAGTTTTTAGGGTAAACCCAAGAATAAGGTCACTGGTTCAGCAGTGTTTGCCTCCTGTGCTTCTGAAAATGACTGAATGCCAGAAATATTTTCCTTCTTGATTGCATTTTCGGGGGAGGAAAAGAAAAGGTCTCACTTTGTAGTCCAGGCTGGCCTCAAACTCTACTGCCTCTGCCTCCCAAGAGTTAGAATCACAGTTTTGCACCCCGAGTCTGGGTCTGGCTCCATTATTTTTTCGAGACAGGGTCTCCCACAGCTGGCCTAGAACTCAGTATGTAGATCAGTCTGGCCTTGATTTTACTGAGATCTGCCTATCTCTGCCTCCTAAATGCTAGGATTAAAGACATGCGCCACCACGCCCAGCTGTGGTTGCATATTTTTAAGGCTTTGTTTTATTTTATTTTTGTCTAGTTCCATTTGAGCACATTTATTTCAAAGAAGGAGAGAAGGGCTGCACTGAGAGGCCTGTATTTTTAAGGCTTTGTTTTATTTTATTTTTGTCTAGTTCCATTTGAGCACAATTTCTCATTTATTTCAAAGAAGGAGAGAAGGGCTGCACTGAGAGGCCTAGAGAAGGTTGCATTGACTGAGCATGTGGCTGAAGGATTTTAGAGCCCTATTTAAGTACCCCCACCTTGCTCCAAATTACTCCCTCTGCAAAATGGGGATGCAAGTGACCACCCTGGCCCTTCAGTCATGATGACAGAGGCCTATGAAACATTTAGGGGAAAGGGCTGAGTCTCACATCTCCAAGACTTCTGCATGATGTGTCAAAGAGGAAAGTTTTAGCAGCAGAGAGAAAAATGGCACTTTTTGGCACCAAGTAAAGGCCAGCTAATTGGTTGCCAAGGAGTTGGGCCAAGGAAGCTTATTTTGTACAGCATCTGCATGCATCATTTTTTCGTGAGAAGTAAAAAGACTATTAGCCCAGTGATAGAGACATATACAATAAATTATTGCCACAGGGCCACAATGACCTTGCCCATATCTTACTGTAGTCCCAACTTTCTGGGTGGGCAGGCAGCAGCATTCTGTGGAAGTCCCGGTTGGGTGGGCGGGGGTAGCAAGAGAGGAAAAGAATTAGAAGAAAGAGACTTGGCAGCTGTTACCTGGCCTGGGATTATTTTCAGTGGAGCCTGACATTTGTAGCATGAGAAAAGCCGTCACCAACTTCAAAGCATTAGGGCACAGTGACAAATGGGTCCCCCTTACAATGGAGCAGCGGAGTCCTAATGAGCATCATTAAAGCAGGTCTGGACCCCATCCCCTAGCCCAGCCCCCAAGTCAGCCTATGGATTTTATAGTGGTCTGCCCTCTTCCTCACCAGGAGTGGGAACTAGTGGTGCTGGGCAAACTGAAGTGGAATCTGGCTGCCGTCACCCCTCACGACTTCGTTGAACACATCCTTCGAAAGCTGCCCCAGCAGAAAGAGAAGTTGTCTCTGATCCGCAAGCACGCACAGACCTTCATCGCTCTGTGTGCTACTGGTGAGCACACAGGCTCAAGCTAAGGGAGGCAGAAGGTGGTGGGTGGGTGTGTACACAAGGGGGCCTGGGTAATCAAGGCCTAGGTTTTATTCCTGACTTATTTGCTCCATATCAGAACTGGATTTTTCTCTCTCTTTTTCTGTTTTACTCATAAGTGCTTTATGAGGACAGGTGTGGTAAGGAAAAAAAAATTAGTGCCTGTTAAAATATTCTTTATGATGTCTAAAGTGCTCTTTGAAGGTTATATACACTACTCATTGGTTGGGTTTAAATCTTTAATCTTTTGACAAAAAGGATGGCTCGGAGATAAGCCCAAGAGGAAAGTTAAGGGAGTGGGGGCAAGTATAGGTTAAAGGAACAATGTCATGATAAATATCCTGCCTGCCCAGATAAATGGAAAGGGAGAGGAAAGGAATTCTTTTCACTGAAGAACATTTATTACCTTCTTTTCCCTCTGCTAAGGGAGTAAACCTGTTTGGCTTTGAGCAAGGATTCACTTTATGAGCCCTGTTTTTTTTCCTGTACCCTCCCGCTTGTAGCTGTGTTTGGATTTTTATTTAATATTTTTATTTTTACGTGTATGAGTGTATAGCCTGCATGTGTGTAAGTGCACCCATGTCATACAATGCCAGAGGAGGTCAGAAGAGAGTGACGGATCCCCTGAACTGGAGTTAGGGACGGTTGTTGGGTGCCATGTGGGTGCTGGGAATCAAACACCCCCCCACCCATCCCCACCCCCAGTCCTCTGCAAGAGTAATCAGTGCTCTTAACTGCTGAGCCACCTCTCCCACCCCTGTTTGTTTGGTTTTGTTTGTTGGTTGGTTGGTTTTTGTTTTCGTCTTTTTGAGACAGGCTTTCCCTGTAGTCCTAATTTGCCTGAAACTGTAGACCAGGCTGACCTTGGACTCATAAAGGTCCCCCTGCCTCTGCCTCCCAAGTGCTGTGATAAAAGGCCACCACCCCCAGCCCCTGTTTGAATTTTTACTTCGGTATTTAACACAGCAGTTACAACAGGGTTTTTTTCATGTCCAAAACTTTTCTTCTGCCCTGGGGATCATACTATTGATACATGGTTGTTATTGGCCTACCACTGGGGAGAAGACTCCAGAACCTTTAGAATCCAGGGGACCAGTGTCAGGAGTTCTATTTTCAGAATCAAAAACATTAGGCAAAGAAAGAACTATTTGTGGACTGCAGCTCAAATTCTCCCCAGGGTAGTTGAACTGTGCAGGTGGGACAAGGGGGTTGACTTTTTAATACCTTGTATTTACTTGGGAGTCTGTCTACTCTGGAGCTGATTATGTAAGGGGCTTCCTGCGTGATCAAAAGGTCAGGCTTTGTTACTTGGCACTGAGTGACCTTGAGCTAACTGCTTAACCTCTCTGAAATTCAGGTTCATCTGCAAAACAAGCCTGTTGATCATCCAGTAGTTAGGATAATTAGAATCACAATGACACGGTGCACCAGGCAAGAGTTTTGGCAAGAGTTTTGTAAACCCTATGTGCTGTACTTATTGAAAATGCAGGGTTTCTAACCCCATCAACTCTGATTTAAACTGTCCTGGTTTTGGTGGATGTGGCAACTTGGCTTTCCCCAATCTGTCCTGCAGGACACAAGCTCTATCTGTGCTGGCTTGAGTATAGGATTCCACTTTGGAGATCAGGGGACAGGTTTGCTGGTTTCCTTTAGTTCTGCCCTTCAGGACCTGGATTACATCTCAGGATGTGCCTGAACTCCTTGGTGGTGTCAGCTGCCCTTCCTGCAGATGGACGGACAGCCAGATGGACCCCAAGAGCCTCTACTGCCTTTGGACAGTCATTCTTTCACTTCTTGCCCTTCTGTCTGGGCTGAGCTATAGAAGTCAGTCCTTCATTGACCTGTTATTTTGTCTTGCAGCCTTGCAGTCCTTTTCATGATTCACTGTAGGGGAAGGGTAAGCCAGCCTTTTCTCTCTGGCCCTAGGAACAGCAGATCCCCTGACCCTAAGTTCCCCATCACCCAGCTGGTAATGGCCAGAGTCCCACTTTGACCTCGTCTCTTAGCTGACAGGTTTTTGGAGGTTCTGTTCACCCTCCTTCTTCCTTCCTGACATTGCATGGGGTAGGGTATGGGTGCTAGCTGGAATTACCCAGCCATGGGCAGATCCCCCAATTCTGTATAGGCCATAGGCCCATTCTCTAATAGTGGGGATCCCATCCCCCACTCTTGGCCTTCTTGCATAGATCCTTAGGGCAGCTGCCAACTTTGGGGCCATAATAGGGAGCCTGGGATTCAGGAACTGAGGATAGAGATCCACGGGGAAGTGGAGGCAGTCAGGGAGACTGTTTTGGGGGACATTGACCTCCCTTTGGCTAGGGAGTAGGAAGGCTAAGAAAAAGCACACCTCCACATAAGAACCAAGGGCCAAGTAAGGACTCTGAGGCATGGGATAGTCAAAGGAGGGGAGGGCTTCAAGCCTCCTGGGCCTGACTCAGGCCCTCCTGTCTCCCCTAGTCTGCACTTAAGCTCTTGTAAGTGACTGAACTTTGGAACCCTGATTTAGGGAGGCTTGGGCAAGCAGCCAGGCAGTTGGCTGGATAGCTCCAGCAGCAAGGCCTGCTTACTGACAGCCCTCCTGAGGATATGAACTTCCGCCTTTTGGGCCAGGGTCTGGTGAACCCAAGAATGCCCAAGATACTGGAATAGCAGGCTTGAAGAGACTGAGGACCTAAGGTGGGAGGGAGGGGGAGGGGCCACCCCTTCAGCCAGGATTGGCCCTCCTGCCTACATGGGCTCCCTATTTAACCCCAGTTCAACCTGGGAGCTGAGGAAGCACCTGTAGCCAGGGTCTTGGGGGGGGGGACCACAAGGGTGAGGGGTTGGGGGAAGAGTCCCTGAAGAGATGGTGGGTAGCCCGCCCTGGAGCTATGTGAGTAGTTTGTGGGAAAAGCCAGTTGTGAAAGATCTGGCAGTGGCTCTGGGTGTATGTGTGTGTGTGTGTGTGAAAGGGGAAGGGAAAGTGGGGAGCACAGAGGCTGTGGGAGGGAGGAGTAGCTGACCAGCAGTCTTCTTTTATGGGGCTCTGGGGTAAGGTTGGTGGCAGGGCAGAGAGGTGCCCTTCTTCCCTGTCCAGCCCACAGTGGCTTCTTGGGGAGAGGTGGCCACAGACTGCCTGATGTTGCTCTCCCAGTGGGAGGCTTTGTGTGAGGTAAGAAGTCCTTCCAAAGACCAGTTCCTGGTGCTGCATTCCTGCCCAGAGCTTTTGGTGCCAGTATGCAGAACCAGACTTAGTCCTTAGTCCTGACCTGACATAGCACAATAGTTGGGACAAGAAGGCCACTTGAAATGACCAGAATCACACTGGGTGCAGAGACTGTGTGATTCTAGTTACTTTCAAAGAGCCAGTAACATCAAGTTTGAACTTGGCCCCAGGGACCCTGCATCCTGCTATTTCTACACTGGAAACCCATCTGTGGCTGCTGTACCCAGTTGTTTATGTTACCTGCCACCCCAAGGCTCAGTCCCAGGGTTGACAATAACCCTTTTTGCTTTCCCATTCTTCCCTAAAGGTGTTTCATTGATTTCCAGCCCCAAATTGTAGCCAGATTGTGGTGACTCTGTGAAGTCCAAGGACTTAACCCTTGATCTAGAAAGGGAACTAAGCCTCTGTGGTTGCTGGGAAGAGAGAGGGGAACCCACACTTCCACCTGGAGTCTTCGAACTGTACCCATAGAGCAGTCATGGGGCCTAAAGGAGGAAGTGACATGTTAAACTGGAGTTGTTTGTAGCCTTGTGGGACAACAGTATGAGTGACAGGCTATCTCACTTCCCATTTGGCTAGAAGGTGAATGAGCACCTTTCTCCAGCCATGCCCTTCCTTTCCTCCTTCAGACTTAAATTAACCTTTGGGGTTAAATACTCACTAGCAGTTACTGTCTTGCCCTACTAGGACAGGTTATGCTGAGCCCTTTCTGGGGTGGCAGGTGAACGTGTGCTGAATGACATCATTGGTGTCATTCCCTGGCCAATGAGCACCCTGGATCTGGCACTTTAAACTTGCCCCTAAGTACAGCTTCCAGGAGAGGCAGAATCAGAGAGGCTTGTTACTGGGTCTCTTTGCCTGCAAAACAGACATCTTCTTCCCCCTAGTGGTGAACAAGAGTAACACAGCCACTCCAAGGCTTTTAGTTAGAGTAATCAGCCCTAAACTTGGTTTTAAAGCTCTATTAGCATAGAACTCTCTTTCTAGTGCCTTCATACCAAGAAGTGCAGATTCCAAATTGATGGATGCAAAGTACTTCTGGCGCTTCTGTAGATTAGGGACCCCCACCGGATGCCCAGTGGCTCCTATGGCCTTCTTGGGAGTTCGGGAATTGCCACAGGGACCAACAGCCTGCAGGTGTTGTGGATGGAACTGGAACCCAGGTAGTTGGCTCTTCAGACTGTTCTTCGTGTGTGTGTGAGTCGAATTTGAAGAGTGTTCAATGTCTGGTTTCACCAGGCTCCCGAACCAAAGTTCAAAAGTCTCCTTAACCTGAGGCCCAACACTTGGAGTGAGGGAGTCACTGCACATCCGAATCTGAATGAATATGGGCTGCACTGGGAAGACAGCTGCTGCCTCCTGCCTTCCATTCATGGTGTGCTCTTAAGACTCCCCTGTGGGGCCTCAGTTTCTCCCATTCCTGACAAAGCAACAAGGGACTTTGGGGATTCAATTAGGTCATTTCTGGGACACATACCCAAGTGGATAGTGAGAGATTCTCCTAGAAGCACAGAGCCCTTATTCTTTGTGGTTTTCAGCATGCCCAGCCTGCTCTCTACATCCGCTTGTTGCTCAGGGATGCTGGGCGCCTTTCCCCCACCCCTGCAAGGCAGAGTCAGCAGCCATCAGAACCACCCTTCACAATCCCACAGGAAGTTCCAACGGTGAGAGCAGTGGAGGGGTAAGGAGAGAGCTGGTGACTGGCTTTGCTTGTTCACCCTGAGCCAGGTACTGTGCCTGGGCTAGTAATAGTGTGGATTATTTTAGTTAGTCCTCAGGACAACACAATGAGGAAGGTGGAATTGTTTTCTTTTTTACAGGTGAGAAAAGATTCTTTTGAAGTTAGCCATGTACAATGCATCATGGTAGGTTGTATTCTCTAATGAATTGGTACCCCAGTCTTAGGAAACTGGCATCATCTTTGTAGGGATCATGTACCTGCTCAACCCTAAGACACTCCACATATCCCTGCTGGCTCCACATGCTAACCCATATGCTAGAAGTGGGGCTGCAGAACTAGACGGGGATGCATCTGCTTGCTGATCTGAAGCCTGTGCACAAGGAAGGGAAGGCTGGGACACTTCCCTGCCCCTTCCTAGCCAAATTCTCTCACCCAAGTGTTCTGTGGGCCCAGGGCCACCGGCTGGCTGCCTCCTCTGTGTTAATGAATGTCACAGGGGGAGCTAACGAGGTTATTGGGCAGAGAAACACCCTCTTGTCGCCCACAGAGACCTACAGCAGAGTGACAGGCAGGGAGGCTGGCTTCATCACATCAGCCGTGAGGATAGACAAGACACAGGCAGGGCTGGTGGCCAGCAGGAGTTGGGTGAAGCCCCATAATATATGGCCCTCGGGAAGGGAAAAAAGCCAAAGAGAGACAGACAGACGGCCGGACCTACCCCATGTTCCTGGGATTAAGCTGAGGTGGGAGAGGAAGTGTGCACGCATGGTTCAGTAATTCATGGAGAGTCTAAGAACACTGAGGCCCAGTGCTGGGGCGTTGGGCTCACCTCTCAAAACTCTTTTGATATGACATGTGATAGAGTATTGGATGGAAGAAGAGGGGATTCCAGGTCACCCTGCGCTGTGTACGTTCAGTCTCTTTCATCCCTCTATATACTCTGCTTTCTGCCTCCACATGCAGTTCCCACTTCTCCATGCACTGGATCCGTTGGTGTCTTACTACAGTTAGACTCCATACACTGGAAGGTTGGCTCCATGTTGCAATATGTCATCTCTGTAATTGGTTAGTCCAAGGCAGGGACAAGGGCAAGACCAACTTGCAGAATTCTCAACATCAGAGCCCTACTTGTGGGCACCTCATGTGGTTGATGCACATGTTAAATACACATAACAGGCAACACATGCCTATTTTCAGTTGTAGCAAGTGGCAGCTGTCACAGGAGTCCACTGTGGTGGTCTTGTCCCCCTTCTCATGGAACCAGCAGCAGTTACTAGATCCTAGTCACCGCCCCCCGTTAGGAAATCAGAAGTTAATGAGTTTGGCATCCCAGACTGACCCCTCTGCTTAGACTTGAAACCTCTATCTTTGCTCTTAGAAAATGTGAGTGTGGGGGCTGGAGAGATGGCTCAGTGGTTAAGAGCACTGACTGCTCTTGCAGAGGAACTGGGTTCGATTCCCAGCACCCACATGGTGGCTAACAACCGTCTGTAACTCTAGTTCCAGGGGAATCTGACACCCTCTTCTGACCTCCACAGACATTGCAGGACATGAGTACACTTACACACATGCAGGCAATGCACTCATACACATGAAATAATTTTTTTTAATTTTATTTTTATTTTATGTGTATGCGTGTATTGCCTGCATGTAGGTTAGTGCACCCATGTCATGCAATGCCCTCAAGAACAACCAGTATTCTTAATTGCTGAGCCATCTTTCCAGCCCCAATAAAATATTTTTTAAAAGAAAGCAGGAGTGTGATTAGGATACAAAGGTCAGTCTTTTGGGCTTGGTTAAAGCCCCTGATACTCTGAAGACTTTATTTTGTTTCAGCTTTTTGAGACAGGGTCTCCCTGTAGCCCCAGCTGGCCTGGAACTCCCTGTGTAGACCAGGCTAACCTCTATCTCACAGAGATCCATCTGCCTTTGACTCCCAAGTGGCGGGATTAAAGGCATGCACTACCATGCCCAGCATTCTGAAGAATCTTAACATGGGGATAGAAGTTGAGAGTTATATGAACTTGACCCCTGTTCATCCCATCTCCTGAATTATAGTGTCTTTAATTTATATATATATATGTGTGTGTGTGTGTGTGTGTGTGTGTGTGTGTGTGTGTGTATTTATAAAATGTATTCACATATCGGGGCTGGAGAGATCGCTCAACAGTTAAGAGCACTGACTGCTCTTACAGAGGACCCGGGTTTGATTCCCAGCACCCACATGGTGGCTACAAACCGTTCTTACCCCAGTTCCAGGGGAATCCGAAGCCCTCTTCTGACCTCCGATATTGCACGACATGGGTACACTCATATGTGGAGGCAATACACTCATACACATAAAATAAAAATAATAAAGAAAATATTTTTTAAGTCTTCATATATATATAGTTTGTTGTCTGGGCTTACAGCAGTTCTTGATGTCTAGCCACAAAATAGGGCAATATCCTATTGAGAATGTCACTCATAAAATTTCCTATGATTCTCCTTTCCTTCTACTTTCTCCTCCTTCAGACATAGGAAGCAGTGGTTATCCCACCTGGGGAGTACATGGAGTACTTAGCCTGTGCAGTCCCACACCTCCTCAGCTCTGTTCCACGGTTACCTCTGGTAGATACCACATCTCACTCATCTTACTGCCCCCACCAGGGCCAAGATAGTACCTGGCATGTGGCGGCTTCTAAAGTGATGTGGTACTTGGAACACGCAGGACCCTGAGCCCTCTTTTCCCTCAGTCTCCCATGTAAAATTGGGACTAGCCCTAGTTGGCAGAATAATAGTTTTCTGTAGAGGAAGGAGTCAAGGGTGGCAGTTGAAAGTGCGGGTGGAACCAGGTGTCCCTGGGGCAGCCAACTCTCACCTTCCAACCTTTTGGTAATCTGCAGGCTGACCTGCTGCAGGCCCCAGCTTCTTTCTGTGTCTGACCTGCCTCTTGTGCCTTGCAGACTTCAAGTTTGCCATGTACCCGCCATCGATGATCGCAACTGGAAGTGTGGGAGCAGCCATCTGTGGGCTCCAGCAGGACGAGGAAGTGAACGCACTCACATGCGATGCCCTCACCGAGCTGCTGGCCAAGATCACCCACACTGATGTGGTAGGTAGCAGCCACCTTGAGCCGAAACCAAGTGTCTTTCCTCCATTCCAGGAAGGACTGTTAGTTTATGATGGTGGAGCAGAGAGATTTTTCTTGGTGTCTCTCTCTTTGAAGATCAGCATTTAAGGCTGTATAAAATTCAGCAGGGTGACACCTCCCCCCAAGGATGGGTGTGTCTGTTACTGATGATTGAACCCAGGCCCTTGGGCATGCTAGGCAATCATTTTACCACTGAGCTACATCACTGCCTCTTTTCTAAATTTTATTGAAAGACGGGGTTTCCCTGAGTTGCCCAGGGTGGCTTTGAACTTATGATCCTCCTTCCTCAGCCTCTCTCCAGTAGCTGAAATTACAGGTGTGCATCACCATATCTGGCTTCCTCTAACAGTTTTTGTTTATTTGTTTTGCTTTGTTTCCATTATTTTTGGTCTTTTTGAGCTCCTTGTAGCCCCAGCTAACCTGGAACTCACTATGTCGACCAGGTTGGCCTTGAACTCACAGAGATCCGCTTGCCTCTGCCTCCCGAGTGCTGGGATTAAAGGTGTGCGCCACCACGCCTGGCTTTTCCTCCAAAGGCTTTGAAAGCCTCTGTGCCTTAAAATATGGCTAGACCTCAACAAGCTGATATGGGGGGAAGGTTGTTGACTGATTTTCCTCTGTGGTGTGGGCTTCATGTCCATTTATGTACACATTGTAAAGCCTCTGATGTGCCATGGAGAGCATCCAGGTCTAGCTCACTACCCTCTGAGGCGGGAAGGCACAGAGAGGGGACAGCTAGAGCTGGGCAGTGGCTGTAGGAGAGGAAGCAGATTCAAGAGTTGATCTTGTGTATGTGGTGCCTCCACCTGTCAGCCTCTCCACAGGTCCTGTCTCGTGCTTTCTTTTGCTCAGTGTTGTGATGGATGAAAACGCATGCAAAGATAAAGTGTAATGCAAATTTAAGAAGCTATTATTAGCTGTAGACTTTTTCCATTCCCCGTGGAAGGCCCTGGGGCTGCTGCTTCTGGCTGCCAGAATTCAGAGCTCCTTAGCAAGGAGGCTTTGAGATGGACCAGGATCCAGTGAGGCCCTCGATTGTACAAGCTAAGACACTATAGTCCAGCCAGGATGGCTTCGAGAAGCCAGACAGGCTGTGCCTGCATTTTGTCTGGGCAGCAGAGAAGGGAAAAGGGGCATGCAGTGGCAGAACTGGGACTCAAACCTCTGAGCTCCAAAGCCTGGAAACTTGGCACGCAGCCGTGCTGTGGGTCCTGGGAGCTTTGTGTTTACAAAAGGCCATATGGGTGCTGGGCATCGAACTCAGGTCAGCAGGATTTGTGGCAAGTACTTTACTCACTGAGCCATCTCACCAGCCCCAATTCCTTGTTTCTGCAAGAGACCTGTGCTGTGTTTCTTAATTTGAGCTGTAGCTTCAAGCTTGATTCTCACTGTGGACCCAAGACTCAACCTTGTAGTAGTAAAATCCATATAAATGGGGGCTGGAGAGGTGACTCATCAGTTAAGAGCACTGGCTGCTCTTGCAGACCCCAGTTCAGTTTCCAACACCCATATGGCAGCTAACAACCATCTGTAACTCCAGTTCCAGGGGATCCGACACCCTCGTCTGGCTTCTGTGGGGACTGCACCACAGGGTTGCTTTTACGTACATGCAGGCAAAACACCCATGCTCATAAACGGCAGCTTCCTGGTGCTGAATCGCCTTCCCTCCGTCAGCTTGTGTTTTCTGAAGAGCTGTGGTATACAGTGAAGGTGAACGAGAAGGCTGAAGTCTAGGGTGCACTTGTGTTCCTAGTGTTCAGAGGGAGTGTTGCTTTCTGAGCTGTGTCCGCCACTTCCAGAAGGGGAACATGGCGCATTTGGATCACTCCGCCATTCGCTTCTGGAAGTACTTAGGATGCTAGTCATTGCAGACACTAGGCATGAGCAAAGTCTGTCCCCAGGCACCATACTGGGTGCTGGAGTGAATAGGTAAAGTATGGAAAATAACTTAGCAATTAATCAAGAAGGGTATAGTATGTGAAATCTTCACAAGATCACAGATTAATGCCTGAATGCAAACTAATATGTTCTGAGCTTTAAAGTAATTTTTGTTGTATGTGTATGAGTAAGTCCACCCTTGTCTTGCAGTGCCCACCAGGCCAGAAGAGGGCATTGATCACGTGGAACTGGAATTATGGACAGTTGTTAGCTGCCATGTAGTTGCTGGGAACTCAACCCAGGTCCTCCACAATAACAGTGCTCTTAACTGCTGAGTCACCTCTCCGGCCCCATTGTGTTCTGAACTTTAAAGAGATCTAATATAAAGTTTAAGCAGAGTAAAAGATAAAGGTCTTAGAACAGAGAAACAAAATGTGGTATATCCATGCAATGGAATATTATCTAGTCTTTAAAAAGAAACATCATTCTGATAAACACACAGTTGAGTTAGGCCTTGAAAGCATTGTGCTAAGTGCAATAAGCTAGATGCAGAAGGACAAGTACTGTATGAGGAGACTACGGTGGTCAAGTTCATAGATACAGAAGATGGAATTGAGGTTCCCAGTGCCTGAGAGGAAAGAGTGGGGAGTCTATTAAATGTGCAGAGTTTCAGGTTGCGAGATGGAGAGTTCTGGACATGACACAACAGTATGGATGTGCTTAGCATCAGCACTTGAAAATGGTAAAAATGGTCCATTTTATCCCACATTATATTTTACCACTGTATGTATACATATACCACATACATGTAAAATGGTGGTAAATGTGTTGGGCTGCACTTAGAGAAGATAAAACCACACCCTGGTCCACCTTGTTCCCCTTGTAACAGAGGCCAAGAACACCTGACAGCTGACCAGGAGTCCTTGAGGTCCACCTTGTTCTCCACAATTTTTCCAGACCCAGGTGTTCCCCTCCCACTCATGGATGGTCTGGGATCTGACTCCAAAGCAGGTCCCCAGGACTGACACAGCCAAATTAGTTTCTCCAGCTCACTGGTCAGCAGGAGATGGGTGGGATCTGAGGAACCCACATGGCTGTGAAAAAGCGGTCTTTGTTTTTCCATCTGGTTGCCAAAATAAACCGGAACGCTCCATTCCAATGAGAAAGCTGAGTGGGAAGCCTGGGTTTTACAGGGAGGGAAGACTCAGAGGGTGGTGGATTTCCAGTACTTTCTCCTTCAAGCTGTAAGAGTTGCTAAAAACAGACACTAGTCAGGGAGGCAGGCTGGCTCTTGGGGAGCTCCTACCCTACCCAGGCTTCCGTTGTCAAGGGTGAGTTTGGGAGCAGGGAGCAACTATCCCAGGCCCTCGAAGAATCAGGGTTCCTCTTCCGTCCCCTCGGCACTGGGTCATGCTTTGGGCCAGCATTTACCTCACTCTTTTAGGACCTCTTGAATAAGATCCACTTGGACTTGGCTTTTTATCTTAAGCCCCTGGCAGTCATCGGGTAGTGAGGCTGGAGAGAGGAAAGAAAGGAGGAAGGAAGGGAGGAATGAAGGACAAAGGGCAGGCACATGGATTTCCAGTGTGCCTCTCAGTTGGGATTTGTGGAAAAATATCTATGGATCATCTATCTGGTTATCAACATTTTAAGCATTATATGTCAGAATTTATCTTAGAGAAAGTCATTTGACTTTTCATACTCAATCACACACTTTAATTACGGGGTAAAAATGATGACTAGGGTGAGGCTCAGTGGTAGAGCACTTGCCTAACATGTGCAAAGCTAATCCCTAACACTGAGAAAAAGAGAGAGAATAGAATAGAGAATATAGAATATAGAGAATATAGAGAATATAGCTCCCAGGCTATAAAGATGTTTCTGGAAGCTATTTAACAGAACATCTGTTAGTTTAACTCTAGTCATCTAGTCAGTTGGTTCTGTCCAGTTTACATCAGAGACACTCAAGAATATTCCCCCCTTCATTTATGATCCTGGTTGTCAGTGAGCAATTATAAAACAACTAACTCTACAGTGAAGGAGTCTCACTTTGGACCCCAAGTTCTCACAGGGTTCCCAAGCACCTTGTTTGTCTCCCCCTTAGCTCAAAGCATGTTTCCCCAGCCACATCTGTGACTGATGGAGCCTTCACTGGGCTTTATAGTGTCAGAAACCCTGGGAAGCATTGCTGGAAGGCAGGCTGGGGGGTGGGGAGGTGGGCTAGAGCTGGAGCCACCTCCTCCCCATTTCTCGCCGGCCTCATTTGGTATGCAAGGAAACAGCCAAACAGCCTGTGAAGAAAGGAAGAATGAGATAGTTTCCTAAGTTGTCTCTGCCTGAGTTGGCCGCGGTCTAGGGCTTATTCAACCCTTTGTCCCCCTGTTGAGTGCAGTGCGTGTGTGGTGATAATGGAATGATGCAGTTACACTGAGGGCTAATGGTAGGAGTTCCGTGGGCCCATTCATGGAAGCAGTGGAGGGTGCAGGGCGAGGAGCTCGAGCCAGCAAGTGGAGGAAGTCGGGGGCTGCCCGTAAGGAGCTGGAGATCACAGCCGCTGCTGTCACGGCTCCCGGGCTGGGGGGCGGGGGGCTATCATCAGAGGAGTTGGAGGGCTGCCCGACCTCCAGCACAGTGGAGTGCCACCTGTCCGGGCTGACAGACTAGCATTATGGCTTCCCTTTTAATCAGCTTAATTTGGGGCATCTTAACACAATCCCTGATGCATTTAGGAGGCTGCCACAAAACTGAGGTCCCAGAGCCCTTGCCCATCACATGCTCGTTGCATCTTTTCATCGGGGGCACTGTTGTCATGGCACACACGCCCCCACACACAGTCACTTGGGCTAGGTCTTACTTTCTGAAGATTCTCTGTCCCATATGCCTTTTCTTCTTCACCCTGAAAGAAGCAGAGATGCAGAAGGAGAATGTTCTCAAATTGGAGACCTGCTTTGATGAACTGCTGTCCTTCAAGAACAAGCACTCCAGCTCCCCAGGCTCTAGAACCCTGACTGGAAAATGACAATCTTTGCCTGTTTCATCTCTGCAGGCTTCTCACACCTCCAAATGCATTGCTGTTTATTAAGATGTCACCTGCTAATCTTGACCCTTTGGAAATAGTCTTAACTAACCTGTAGCCTCCTGGCTGTGTTGGGGGCAGGGTTCTACCTTCCTTCAGATCACCTACCGGTCCCCTGCCCCTTATATCCTGCCACCCACTGCTCTGTGTAAGAATAGGAATCTGCAGTTTGGAAATACACTGTGGCTCCCTTATGATAGGAGACACAGTCTCACTGTAACCCTGCTGGCTGGCCTTGAACTCACAGAGATCTACCTACCTATGCCTCCTGAGTGCTAGGATTAGCCTAGCACTAGCAATAGTTGTTTTCTCTCTTGCTTTCTGTCAGCTAGCTCACAGAAAGTTTATTCCTCCTCTAGGGGCCAAGAAGGGTTCTCATAAGGCTAAGGGAGGGTGTTATTAAGCCGGGAGGATTGATTGTTGTCTGAAGGGCACTATGGCAGATTTCTCCACTTGCTGTGAGTAGCGTATTCAGACCAGACGTTCACCATGGTTTACACAAGCTTTCAATCTGGCGGAACTGGGTCTGAGTTACCCTAGTTGAAAGTTAAGCTGATAATTGACAACTTGTAAGGAAATAGAAGCTGAAGGATGGTTGGGAAGAGACCTCAGACACGTTTGGCATCCTACTGTGACCCAAGGCTGGTCTAGAAGTAAGCAGGGGATGGGGTTGCATCATTCCTGTGCTAACTACATTAGTCTTTTTCTCTCTTCCAAGTGAGAGGAATCACAGGTGAAGGCTCATCCAGAGTCCGCAATGATTTGGATTGCAATTAAAATAAAAGACTACACATTTTGTATGAACTTTATGGATCTTCCTCTATTGCACAGGAATAGCCTGTGCACCTGCCCTCATCTGGAACATGTGTGACCTTCCACATGTGTCATCTTGAGTCTCATGGCTCTGAATCCAGTAGAAGCAACTACCAGATGGGTCCTATCCTTCCTGTAGGGTTTTCTCAGAGCTGTCCCTTTAAAGTCTTGTCCTGCTGGAAAGAGGGACTGACTAACAGCAAGAGTAGGGACACTGGTGATCTTGAAGCCGAGCTCTGAAATTTTCTGAAGTCTGATCTCCAAGGACCATCCTGCCTGCATGTTAGTTAATGCACTGGGACCACAGAGTCCTGCGGTGGCCATGCCAAGATGTGAAAACCCATATACCCTTGCCCTGGGGCCAGACTAGAGAGCCCACGAGCCAGAGAAGTTGTGTGGACTTGACCAAAATGTACCAGGTTTCTTGGTGGAGAACAAGGTCTTCATGTAGATTTCATCAGAAAGTATTCCCCAAGTGGTCTTACCTTGAAAGATACCTCATCGCTTACATAGGGTCTCACTATGCAGGCTGGCTTCAAACTCAATCCTCCTGCCTTAGCCTCTTGAGGATTAGGATTATAGGAGTGTGCCTCCATGCCTGGCTTCTTTTTCAATTTAATGGCTCACAATTCTCCTGACCCTCACCACAGCCCCAGCCTCACACTCACACACACACTCATCCTCTCTCTCCCTCTCTCTCTCTCTCTCTCTCTCTCTCTCTCTCTCCCCCCCCCTCCCTCTCACCTTATGCCTCCAGGTAGGATTTGTCTTCTGTGGCCAGGTACCAGTCAGAGGCAAGTATTTGGCTGCCGTCTATGATATGAATATGTTCCCATTCATTCTTCCTCCTTCCAGGAAAAACTTAAACATATCTTTCAATAGCTGCTAAAGGGCTCGTACAGCAGAGGGGCATCAAACATTTAACTTCTAGATCTGACTGGTTATTCTCCTCGAGGGAATAAGAGAAAGAAGGAAGGGAGGAAGGGAGGAAGGGAGGAAGGGAGGAAGGGAGGAAGGGAGGAAGGGAAAAGAAAATAGTGGAGGGTATCTGGGGGCAGGTGGATGCAAGCTGACACTGCAGGTCCAGAGTCTCAACCCCTGGCCACTGGGGTAAGCATCTCCTTACACCATGATCTAGGGTGGAAACGGACATGCTCTACCACCACAAACTGCCCAGAAGAACAAAGGCAGCCCTTTGCACAGTTCAGATGGAGCAAGAGCCGTGCATTCTGTCTTCAGTGGCAAGAGTGACCGAGTTAGGCTCTCCATCCCTCTTTGTCACAGGATCTTGCTATGGGACAACCCACCACAGTACTGACTATATTCAATGTTGGCCTTGTCCTCTGCCCTGAAATTAGCTTTGAATCAGCATTTCAGATTACAAGGCTTTAATGTTTGCAGATACCTTCTGCTGATAAGCCCCTAGAAACATGTTTTTACTTCAACACCAAGCAAGCCATGACCTTGAAGCCAATGCTGATGAATTGGCCTTGTAGGAAGAACATGGTAAAAAATGAGAACAGGAGATGGTGAGACCCAAATTTCTAATCAATAACAAGGGTGGAGGATGTGAGTGGAAGACTCCATAGACGAGAGTGAGAGGTACTGGGATCCAGTCCCTGACTTGACATTGATGAAGTCATTATGGTGGGATCACCCGCTCAGCAAAGCTGGACCACCTCAGTCTTGCTCCAGACTTCCTAGGAGCAGACCCAGGGCATACACCTCACCAGCCTTGGGTAATTGCTAATCTGTACCTTACTTTTAAAGTAATCTAAGCTGGGCGTGGTTGTACACCTCCAATCCCAGGTATTTAAAAGGCTGAGTCGGGAGGATCCTTTGATCAAGGCCAACCTAAGCCAGTCTCCAAATCCAAAGAATCCTTCCAAATTCCAGGACAGAAGCATTACCAGACATAGTAAATATTGATCATCTATTAAGCGACTACCTAACACTTCATTTTTACAGATGGAGAAACTGAGATTAGAATTCAGTAACATAGCTGTGACCTCCAAGCGTGGAGTGTGCAACCAACACTCGTCCTCCTTTCCATCATTCTGAGATCCTGGGGGACATTTCATTTCTGCCCTTTGCCTTGGGTCTGCTGTCATTCCTCATCTTAATTTTCATGAAGAGTTTGAAACATGGAGCCGGTGAGAGATAGGAATGAAAGCATAGAGGTGTGTGCAGGGGGATAGGAATGGAAACTTTGCTCCTCTGTAGTTAACGCCAACTTTATTTTAGGTCTTTGGAAAATAATCTTCATGCTTAGCAAAATAGCAGCCTCTAGGTGGTGAGACGTGCCCAGTGAAACAAACAAAAGGGATGTGTATATCACGCTGTGGACAGGCACGGGGATTCAAGGTAGCATACTTTCCATGTGCACAGGCTGCTTCAGAGAACAAGTCAGCCCCTCGGAGGAGACTGAAACAGCACTACAGAACAGTTTCCTTAGCTCCTAGCCTAAGCCGCAGTCCCATCCAGTGACAGCCGTAACTTCCTGTCACATTCCATGTCTCCCAGCTAATAGAAGCTTCTGCCTGAGGCAGACTCACTCTGGATTTTCCCTACCAAATATAGACTAATAAAAGCAACACTGCAAATTCTTGCTTATTCCCAAATTGGACAAGCTCGAGTATCCAGAGTTCTGTAAGCATTCTGTACTGTATTTTTGTGAAATGAGTTAGAGGGTGGTAAACAGGTAGAAAATGGAGGTATTTTTAGTTTCTGCATGCTTAAAGCAGTTAAGCTTCTTTCTTTTTACCAAGTCCTTGGCTAACATAGCAGCACCTTACAGGAGACCATCCCTCTCTGTGACACCTCCCACTTTATCCAGGCAGAAAGCATCCATTTGGCCCCTTGGTGATTATGCAAAGACGATCTGTGACTGAACCATCTTCCAGGTCAATGTTTTTCAGAATAGGAAATGCCTGTGTTTTGACCTGCCCACTTCCATGCACTGAGGTTCCATGGTTTTTAACAACATCCTGCCTGCACATTCACTTCTGCTGGGAAGTGAGCATGAGGCAGTGGGAGTTGGACTGTGTCTGTCTTCAGGAGGTGCTCTGTGCCTCGGCATACATACCCTAATAGCTACTGTCTGGACCCCTCTTTTCCAGGATTGTCTCAAAGCCTGCCAGGAGCAGATCGAGGCTGTCCTGCTCAACAGCTTGCAGCAGTTCCGTCAGGAGCAGCGTGAAGGCTCCAAGTCCGAGGAGGAACTGGACCAAGCCACGACCCCTACAGACGTGCGGGACATTGACCTGTGAGGGTGCCGTTCCGGGCCTGTGAGAGAGGCGCATTTGTCATCTGCTCTCTCCCTTCTCTCTGGTTATGTTTTGTTCTTTGTGTTTTAGGATGAAACTTTAAAAAAAAAATCTGCCCCCATCTAGATCATATTTAAAGGTCTTTTAGAAGTGAGAGAAAAAAGGTCCTATAAAAACAGAATAATTCAAAGCGTTTGGTGCCTATTGAAAGTACAACATAAGGGAATCCCTTGTATATGCGAACAGTTATTGTGTGGTGATGTTAAAGTCATAGTAAAATGCTTAAAGGAAAACCTAGCTAGAGAGTATGTATGCCTGCAATATGGGAACAAATTAGAAGAGACTGTTGTCTGTGCTTATGAACTAGAGCATACACCCCTTTTAGTAGACTGCAAGGAACTATGTACGCCAATCACAGCATGATTAGATTGCAAAGCAACGAACTCAAAAAGAAATGAGAAACAAGGAGGGACATGCTTGGGGAGGGAGCACAAAACAACCTGTCAATACAACTGAACCATTGTGGATGTAAGGAGTACCTTCACGCCTAGCCACGTGTTTCTAAGACTGAGCACAGTGGGGTCTCTACCTTCCACACTCAGGCTGTCTGCAGTAGCTGCTATCTAAGGGAGATGTGTTTTGCTAGACACAGGTGATTGGCTCCTGGGTCTCATGTTTGGTGACTTTGTGCTTCTTCCCAATATGGTTCATTGTAGACACACCCAACTGTTCTCTAATAGAGGGACTTAGCTACAGGCCATAACCAAAACTCATCTGAAATGGGGGCAGATGGAGACCACAGGTGGGATCTGAAATGAATCTTCCCTTGTAATGAAAGAGTGTGGGGTGACCTTGAATCCCTTATTAGGAAAAACTTAATTTCTGGTGCTGATTGGCAGGTCTGGTCCACAGTTTAGCATTGTTATAAACCATTCCATTTGAAAAGCACTTTGAAAAATTGTTGGGGGGGGTAGATGGGATGGTTTATGCAAATCATGCTGAATACTCGTCCATCCCTTCCCTGCCTGTCCCCTTCGGTTACTATTCATTTCATTTCCGGTACATAGTTCTGGTCTCCTTACCAGGACTAAGACAGCTCCTTGCTGACAATTCCCATCACAGCATTTCTCAGAAAAATGTAAAAACAAAGGTCGGAAACCATTCCGATGACATACAAGGATTGAATCTCCATTTATTCTTGCTTCCTTTGGACATGGGAAGAAAAGTTACTGCTGGAGCAAAGGCTAAACATCAGGTGTGGCATTTCGTCCCCTTTCTGTTTTTCTGTTAATTTTATTGCAAAGTTGTATTCAGCGTACTTGAAGCTCTTTCCTGGTGTAAATCATTTCTTCTTCTTCTTCTTTTTTTTTTTTTTTTTTTTTTTTTTTTTTTTTGCACAATTGTAATTGACAGGTAATGAAGCTATTTGTTAAAATATTCGCCTTTTTTTTTTAAGAAAAAAAAATCAGAACATGGCTGCTTGGAAGAATTATTTTATACACAGGTTCCGTCTTGTTTTATAAGAAGGAGGGTTGAAGGTGGAAAAACATCTAAAGGTGTCTTACTTTCATTTTCTCTTTTTCTGTTTATTATTTTTTTGCGCTGCTAAGAAGCTAAGATTGTTCATCCTTAATCACATTAACAGTGCCTAGCTGTAATGTTTCACAGTGTGCTGCTATTTTATAAACATTTTTATAATATATTATTTTACTGCTTAAATTCCAAGTCCTGACATAGATGGTTGAGATATGAGTTCTTTGTACTGGAAAAGCTCTTCCATAGTTTTTCTTCTGGTAGCCTATCCATGAATTTTTTTTTCTTTTTATCTTTTGTGGTTCTTTTTTTTTTTTTCAGTTTTTTTTTGAGGTTCGTTTGTTTTTTTTTGTTTTTTTCCCCTCTGATCACATTCTTCAAAGACAGCATTCTTTACCTCAGGTTTACCGGACAAAATCAATAATGACAATTCACATTTTTATTTTCATGATACCTCACAGCCGTACAGTTTCTGTTTGGGAGACCACTTAGCACAAGGCATAAAACGGGTGGGGGGAGGGTAGAAGGCAGGAGAGATACGACCCCAGGATCTGACTCCTGGCATTCTCCTTATGATGGAAACAAGAACTCCTCCCTCCCTCCCACAAGGCGGACACTCAACACAGGCAGCACAGTGAACTAGGGAATCCCAATTTGCACACAGGCACCAGGATCAGCAATCAGTCCAGCCGACTGGAGACCCCATCTTGTAGCCCATTCAGAAATAGGGCTTTCTTCTGTCTAAGGCCCTTTTCTTTTAACAGTTGTCCAGTTCTCTCTTCCTCGGCATGAACACCCTAACTAGGATGGTCTCCAAAGTCTTCCTAGGCCCAAGTCTGTGGGTGCTGAGTCTGCAGCAAACAGTATTTGTGATGCTTCTCCCACTCCTGCCCCCACAGAGGCAGGCAGGCAAGTGCTGTGCAGAGCCAGGGCATCTGTGTGCGACACTGGATAGCTTTAGGTTTTGAATCCCACTGAGTGGGCAGACTTGGAAAGCACAGGTTGGAAAAGTCAGGGATGGAAGTTGAAAGGAAGCGAGAGACTGTTTCTCTGCAGAGATGAGATTCCAGCAGAGCCAGTCTGGAATATGTTTAGGAAGGACCAGGACTCGGTGAGTTAGCATGGCCCTAATATTCTAGGGGGATTTGTGGTGGTAGAGAGAGTGGTGAGTTTGAAAGTTTGAGGGAGGAAAGTGGAGCAGCCTACAGTTACACCAGTGTTTATCCAGAGCCCACGTGGCACAGTTCACTCTTCAGGTTCCCGAGGGGTCCCACAGAACCCAGCAGGCACAGTCATTGGAGTTCTTGGGCAATTTGGCACCTGATGAGTAAACAAGGTTTATGTTCACTTGGTGTGACCCTTGAGCTTAACAAGAAACAGTAAATGAAAAGATGCCGACATACAGAAAGGAGCAGGCTGCTAGCTTCCCCTACAGTCTGTGAGATCCCTTTACCTGGAGCCTAGGAGACAGTAGACCCATCTAGCTTTTCCTCTACGCCATCTTTGGAGCCTAGTATAAGGGATTGTGTGGAGTGCAGTTCATCTGCCTGACGTTGCTTAAAGGAAGGAATCCTGGATTCCTTGATGACTACCCTCTGCTTGGATCTTGGTCTCCTTGAGAAGTTCTGTCTTAGAGGGGTTCAAGTCTCCCCATGGGCTCCTCCTCTTCTTTGCTTCCTACTAAAGAGATTACAGATTCTGTTTTTTTCTTATCTTGTTATCTTTTTCTTCCTTGTTTTTTTCTTTGTTGTTATTGTTTGTTTTTCTCTATCAATGGGGGTGAAGCTGTTCCCCCAGCCTGCCAAATTTTGAGCCTTTCCTGTTTTGACCAAATCCTAAGGGGAAGGAATTCTAGTATGCCAAAAATAATATACTAAGCATTAGGAGATTCATGCAGGTTCCCAATAGCCAGGAAGCCTGCAGGAGGATGCTGAACATCCATCTACGTGTGCTGAGAGGCAAGCTCTTTCTAGAAGAATCAGCTTCTAGAAGCTTTAGTTTCAACTGCCCCCAGGATGCCACTGAAGAACAGGGCACATCTCTTCGGGCAGATAGCCTTAGGTTGGGTGCTGTCCACTGCAGACGCCTCTGTCCTCCAGGCCAGGGATACACATGGCTTCCCTGGACCATATCTTTTTGTTAGCAGGGTAAGGGACCCCTCAGAAGGAGCTCTGCAGCTTTCCTACAGCCTAAGTTTTTCAGGGCCTACCCAGACTGCCCTAGTTGCTTTGGGATCAACAAGCTGAGATTACAGAGGGCCAAGGGAGTTTTCTCTCCATCGGCTATGGGGGACAGGGCTGGGAAAAGAACCACACTTGCACCTTATGTCCTGTACATACTGATTTTCTAGTTTGAGAAGGTATATTGATAGCAAGGAAGATGTCTGAGTAAAACCAGCTGACTTCCAAGCCCAAAAGATTCCTCTTTGTTTATCTTAGACAGTCCAACCTTGGGACTAGCTTTAAAAGGGAAATTTACACAGAGACAGTGAAGTCCCCTTCAGCCAGCCAGCCAGCCCTCCATAGGTATACATCGCACACAGGCTTTTATTGATGCAGACTCTTGCGAAGTCTGACCAGCTGCAGGACACTCATCCATTTGTACAAAATAGGGTAGGCAGAGCCCAGAGGATGTTTATGACTCCCTACCCCACGTGGCTTTTGATGATTCTGGATTCTAAACAACTCAGAGAAGTTGCTGCAGCCAGAAGAGCCTACACGTGTGCGACTCTGCTTTTAAACTTGGCTGGGCTATCAGACTGTTTTTGGCTCCCGTTTTAAGAAGCCATCAGCCAACGTACACTGCAGATGCATTCATTTGCCTGCAGCTTACTTGCAGGGGGGAAAAGTGCCTTACTAACTGTAGCCATTACAGTTAGTCAATCTATTTCAACAGGTGCCTGTCCTTGACAAAAGAAAAAAAAAAAATGTCTTTCATTGGTTATAGTTATTTCTGCTGGCCATCTCCTATGTCCTCAGCAAGTCACAGGGTCATTGAATTGTTTCCATTTTGTTTATTTACCCTTCTACCATGTACCATGTACCTCAGATCTCTCTCTCTCTCTCTCTCACCAGCAGTAAATGACCCCTCTCCTCTCCTCTCTTTCCTTCTCTCTCTTTCTATCTCTCTCTTACAGTTTCTTATCTTGGATTATTTTTTTCTTTTTTATTTGCTTTATGAGTGTGACGCCATATCAAGTCCATGTTAATCCCTCACAGTGTACTCTATAAGAGGTGTGGGTGGTTTTTTGGTTTTGTTTTTTTCCTCTTGGTCGGGATGCTAGAAAGTGCTTAAGTAGCATGATCAGTGTGAACAAAAAAAAAAAAAAGGTCTTTAGGAAGTCTAGGAGGAAAGTGTTGTATTGGCTACCGTGGTGACATGACATAGTCAGCTGTTCAGTTTTAAGCGATCTTTTAAAAAATAACCTGTGCTTCCGACTAGTTTGAAGATGGAATTGAAAGTGGTTTTGAATGCAATTAGATTATGCTATTTGGACAATAAACTCACCTTGACCTAAAATTGTCTGGCCATGGTTGACTTATTTCTACCCTGGCGGTCCTCAGAATGGATTCCACCTGTCATGAGTCAGAATGCTATTGGCAATAGTTGGTAATGGCATAAAATACAAACCTTAAGCCGGAAGTGAGACCACGCCTGTGCTTCTGTGTCATTACATTCCAAGGAATTGTTGACTTTTTTCCCCTTTTGGGGGCCACCCTTGCAGCCAGATATAACTAGAGATCCCTTTCTGAGGTGGCTGAGTCACTAGCGTTAGGACAGGTCCTCAATGACAGCTGCTAACTGTTACCAGCTACGCACTCTTGACTGTGAGTGAGAGTCTCCTGGTATGGGTACCAGAAATCCACAGTGCCATCTCCAGATTCTGAAGTGTCTCCAGGGAGCCCCACCATGTAGCTCTGTGGCTTCCATCCCATGTTCCTTCCTAGTGGTTCCCAAATGATACTTGACCCTCTCTGTATCTCTTATGCTAGGCTAGACCTCAAATGCCCTGCTGGAGGCTAGTGTGGCAGGTCCTGGCAGAGAGGTGGATAGCCATCACTTTAACACCAACAGTTGCCAGGTCCTGGTCCTCACGACCCTTGGACCTTCACTCCTTGAGTCAGCTGTTGATCTCAGTAGTGATGGGTATGCAGAAGACAAGGGTTTACCAGTCATTTTGATGTAATGATAGAAATTAGTTTTCTCTATCATCTCTTCTTCTTTCAAAGTCATGGAAAACTATTTTCCAGTATAGTTCTGACCTCAGGGGTAAGCAATAAGACTAGCCATTTGAGAAGTGGAGTTTAAGATATTCCTTCTAGGGGCTGGAGAGATGGCCCCATGGTTGAACACTGGCTACTCCTGCTGAGGACCTGGGTTCAGGTCTCAGCACCCACAT